CTGCCATCAAACTTTCATCCGTGTAGTTTTTATTTCTGGGAGCCCGACCCAGAATGTTGGAAGTAGCGGCAGGTGTCGTGCCTTGGTGGCACCTCTAGTCACAACCCCAAAACCCCTTCAACTATCAGCCACATCCCTTTTTAACAGAGATCTGCTGCTAGACCTTTGGTAGATGTTTCATGGCATCTCCGTTATTTCAGATTTACTCTTCACCACCAAAACAGCTATGGCATGATGTGCTTCCTTCCAGTGTAAAATTCAGCTCTTCTCCTCCATACGGGTGTCCTTGCACAGCTGAAGCCACCTCGAGCTGCTGAGACCAAGGGCTCTGTCTCTGCAGGTGGCTCAGCTCAGGTCCCTGGCTGCCTGGGAGGACAAACGGTCATCCACCTCCCGGTGTCGAAGTGGGTGACTCACATGGCAAAGCCCAGTGACTCTGCACTGCCCTCCTGACTTGGATACGCCGGGAGAGAAAATAACCCATTCACTAAGGATCTAAATTTACCCAGCAGCCGCATCTGTTGGAGCTGCCAGAAGGAGCTAATCTTAGACAGCAACTGAGTGAGCAATTTGTTAGACAGACAGTTCATGGGAGAACTTGGGCTTTGCCCCTCTGTGCCTGAAGTTATCCCCTCATTTATTACTGGTGTTAGAAGCCCAGGGGCTCTGGTGGGCCAGGAGCACCCAAGTGGTGCTACCTCAACCACGTCTCACGGTTCAGTGCTGTGCAAGAGACCCTCCTAGAATCATAGAATGGTTTAGGTTGGAAAAGACCTTTAAGATCAAGTCCAACCGTTAACCCAGCACTGCCAAGCCCACCACTAAACCATGTCCCTCAGTGTATGCCTCCATGGAGCGGGATTTATCAACTGCTCATCTCTCTCCTGGAGAAGAGTATCATCTCGTCTGATCTGGTTATTGCCTGGCTGTTTGTTAGTAAAACTTGCCTGAGAAGCCAAGAAAAACAATTATTGCAACTACAAATCCAAATTAATAGCCCTACACTGGACACTTTCTTGTTCAGCCTGACATGGCTGTAATTCCTGCATTCACCTTTCTTGTTCTAAAATTTTGTATGGGAGGGACTGATCCTGCTACACTGCATCCCGTTAGGATGCTTTCCATGTATCCTCACCCACTCCCATGTCGTGGGGGGACTATTGCCCACTTAGAGACAAGCTTAATAACTGGATTGGTCATTGGAAATCACTAGCTGTAGTCCGGTTAGATCTGGGGTCAGTTAGCTGAGGGCTATCTCAGAACAGCCCACCTCATTCAGGGCTGCGTTGTCTATTATACAGCAGTCAGCACGCTCGGGGGAGTACCCTGGGGAGAGTCAAGTCACCCATTCATGCGTTCACGGAGATAACCGAATGGTAACTATGATCACTGCTCAGACTTAACACATCCACGTGTGCCATCTCATCTGCTTTTAAATGTTAAATCCCTCTGGGCTTGGCTGGTACTTGTTTGGAGACCAGCTTACCTTAGTGGTGGCACGTTGGACCCAGCAAATGGAAGGCGGATGGGACAAGTCTACTATGATCAAAGCCTCCACAAGAGATAATGGTTGCAGAGGGCTCAGAATTGATGACCGCCTCAAATTCCACTACTATCATCAGAGAAAAGTCTCCTGTAGCAAGCAGATGTGGCCTTGGCTCTCTAGTCCAGCAAAGCTCAGACCAAGTCCCCAAAAAATCCTATTGACTTCCCTGTGCATAAACAGATGTAAAATGGCAACAACCAACCAGTGTGAAAAATGAAAACCAGGAATGAGGGAAGACACACAAGTGAGAAAGAAATACTGTGCTTGAGATCCAGACTGGAAACACGTAACGTAAAACGTAAGAAGGAAAATAATCTGAACACCGAATACTCAGAGGGTGAGAGGATCTGAAGCTTGTGGATCTGAGCTGCATAAAGCACTGCTGGCCTTCCACAGCCAGCCCCAGGAGGGTTCAGGAGAGGTGCATGGTGGCTCTGAGAGCACCCCTGGGTCTCCCCATTAGCACTGTGTGAGCCTCCCCACGGCACAGAACTGCTCAGAGGGTTTGGGTCCACCAGATCAACCCTCTGTCCCACCAGACTGTGGCAGAAACTTGTTTGGGGCGGAATCAGCCTAATCTGAGCTGAATGCAGCCATGCTCAGGAGCCAGGGAGGTTTACAGACCATTTGAGGTCAGGGTTAACACATAGGACACAGCCTGTATGTCCAGCCTGGGCCATATATGCGATCCACATCTGTTTTGATGACAGGGCTTGGGATGGACGCTGCTGTATTGAACTGATAGCAAAAAATGGTGGAAACATAAAGCAGGGATCACATGTGTGAGCATTGCCACCACCCGTCATTTGGACAGCATCCCAGCACTGCTGGTGTTAGGAGGCACTGGGAACAGTTAAGGGTGTCTAGTCTGAATTCATGGTTTAAACTCTCTCTATAGTGAATGGGGACAGATGGACATCACCGGAGTCCTCTCATCTCAGGCAAGTGTCTAACTCAGGTGCAGTGAACCAGCTCCCAGAGATACCTGGCTCTCCCCATGCCTGTAGGGAGCCTAAATGACACAGTGTACTGAGGAGATGGTGTTCTGGAAAAACCAGGGCTGCTTCCCCAAGCCTTGGAGCTGGTCCAGCTGCTGTGCAAAGCCACGGAAGCTGATGAAGACCCCAGAGCAGGTTTGGGACCAGCACGG